CATCGTCGAACAATTAATTGAATGGAATTCGTCTCTATACATCAACTTCCTGCACTACGAGAAGGCGCTCGACAATGTGGATAGTAGAACATTATGAAAACGTCTTCGACACTATGATGTATGTAGCTGGGAAGACCGTCAACATCATCCGGAATTCATACGACACAATAGAGTTTAAAGCCATGTATGGAAGACAACTGACTGATATATTTCAAGTAGGGACCGGAAAAAGTCAAGGCTGTCCAATCTCCCTCTTCCTCTTTCTTCTGGTGGTCGACTGGACTATGAAAACCTTAAACTTTGAGTGAAAGTACGGAATGAAATGGGTAGCTCGGAATCAATTGGAGGATTTGGACTTCGCATACGGCCTGGCCCTTCTATCCCACACAAACGAATAGATTCAGATGAAAACAACTAGTGTAGCAGTAGCCTCTGCATCAATGGGCCTTAACATACACAAAGGAAAATGCAAGATTTTCAAATTTAACACGGAGAACACCAATCAAATCACACCTGATAGCGAAACTCTGGAAGATGTAGAATCCCTCACATACCTGGGAAGTATCATCAATGAACAGGGAGGATTGGATACAGACGTAAAGGCGAGGATTGGCAAAGCAAGGGCCGCATTCCTACGGTCGAAGAACATATGGAACTCGAAACAACTTTCAACCAATATTAAAACACAACCTTCAACGCAACTGTTAAAACAGTCCTATTGTACGGAGCTGAAACGTGGAAAACTACTTCAACCATCATCAAGAAGGTTCAAGTATTTATAAATTATTGTCTACGCAAGATCCTCAACATCCATTGGTCGGATACCATCAGAAACAGCCTTCTGTGGGAGAGGACAAACCAGCTTCCAGCTCAAAAGGATATTAGAAAAAAGACTCTGGATGTGAATAGGACGTACATTATGGAAACCACCAAACTGCATCACGAGGTAACCACTAACTTGGAATCCTGAAGGGAAGCAGAGAAAAGGAAGGCCAAAGAACACATTACGTCGGGAAATAGAAGCAGATACGTAAAGGATGAATAGCAACTGGAAAGAACTGGAGACGATTGCCAAGTACAGGGATGGATGGAGAGACTGATGGATGGCCTATGGTTCTCCAAGAGAGGTGATAGACCTAAGTTACCACTACCACAAACGACAGAATCTGTTAGAAAGTTTCTTTGCATGGTTGGCCTTATTTTTAAACTACCACCAAAGTCGCTACTGGCCTGTGGTAATTACAGAAAAGCTGCGTATGTAAAAACGACCAAGTGAACAAACAAATGCTTGTCAATCTAAATGTTCTATCAAAATATGAGTATACATTTGAAGAGGACAAGCAGAATCTAATGATTCTGTTCTCCGATTATCGTCTTACGTAGTGTTTTCATCTGGTATCATATAGAGCTAAACTAATCAGATCAATTTAAATGCCGGAGGCTTACAGAGCCATCTGCCTCTTTTTATCAACACACACTGTTATTGATCATAATACACATTATACTGATGAAATGGGGTCGGAAGGTTAGTCATTTGTGTTAATAAGGAAGGCCGATTTGTGACATGCTAGCCCAGTAACTACTGAGTTAGAGGTAATAAATCCCCACTAACTAAACATACCTCCCTCAATAACTGACTCAGTGGTAAACTGTAATGACAGATTTTCCTGATAAATATTTTAGTAGTGTGATTTGGAAGACGAGCTTTTTTCAGTCGAGATGGTATCATGAAGTTCATTGATGACATCAGGCGAATGTGCTATAAATGTATGTACAATTTATAAGTAACTTATATCATTTATTGTTGCAAAATGTATTCTGAATCGTTTATGGATTCATTACACATCAACCTGATATTATTTGATAAGACAGACTAACCCTGAAGTTTATCGTTCCAATTCCAAATTTGGACTCGAACCCTAACCGCATATGCTAAGTTAAAAACACTTATGGAGTAATAATGTAACTCTAATAGCCTGAATTTTTTACTATCCATAGATGTGCGTAACTTTAGTGGATGAGGACTATGTATAACTGACAGCTGCTTTGTCGTTTGAATGGTTGATGAGTCACCGTGACAACTATTTCCGGACCAGAGAGATTGTAGGAGTTGAGTAAAAGTGAATGAGATTTACACTGAAGCACTTATCTTTCGAATCAAAACTTTAAGCCCTTGTTATTGTTTGAGTGAGTAAGAGTCTTTTGAATATCATTCACTCATGAGTGCCTAGACAGACTACTCTGTTTGTAAAACAGTTCCTACATCAGACTGTCACACCAGCTGTTTTCGTTTTTGCTTGCTGCCATAATTTATTTAAACTGAGTTAGCTCTTAACTGTTGATAGGATGAGCCCCACTTCTTTCGCAGCAGTTGTAGTCAATTCGAGTGACTTTTGAAATAAATATAACAAACGTCGTTTATTTAGCATTTCTAAAATAGATGAGTTCAGTTGGTGATATAAATCCTACAACCCCTTATCAATGTATTCTATTGGTCAGCCTCTCAAATATACAAGAATTATGCTTGAATTTTTGGTAAATAAAGTTTCAGAATGTATTAAAGAGAGTCTATGCAGGACTTATTCAAAAAGTTTTTTTGATACGGAACATCAGGAATCAGCATGAAATAAAAAATGAATTGTTTTAGCACATCACAAATAGTTCCCACTTGAAATGCAAGGAACAACATCTACTGATCTCCGTCCAAGCTATGAAGCGAATGAGGTCCTGATAATCAGTCTCAATATTTGGTCACAAAGTGGTCGACGTCTAGTCTTAGGAAACTTTAATGCCCCCTTGGCAGACTCGGAAAATCTGCGAACTGAATTTTCAGATAATTCCTTCGAGCAGGAACTAGTTGATGCGGTTATCACATGTGCACTAATGCAACATGTGATGGAAGCGACTAGGTACGACCTGGACACTGAGTCATCCTTCTTAGATCTTATATTCACTCACTACGAGGATGATGTTACGAACCTCCATTACATGCCACCTCTAGGTCAAATTGATCATGCAGTTATAACCTTTGATTTCCATATAACTGTCAAGCACGATCGCGCGTCAGCTCAATCCAGACCTAACGTCTGGAAGGCAAATATACAAGATATCATACACTCAGCGCCATCAATAGATTGGACAATGGAGCCAAAGTCCTCAATTTACACTTAAAAGTTACTGCACGACACATAGCTTCGACCACACCAAGGAGACCGAGAAACTCTTCACCATGGTTCAGAGGGGAGGTCCGCATCCTTCTCTGCAAGAGAAGAAAAATGTGGGATAGATTTAGGTTACTGGGGAATGATGAGACAAAATTTCAGTATCGAAAATCTCGGAATACCTGCGCCTTGACGCTCCGTAAGTTTAGAAAGTTGTAAGAAGAAAAAAATTGTTAAGGAATCCATAGAATGTCCTAAACGCTCGTATTCGTATATAAACTAAAGGACAAAAAGAAGAGGAAATATTCCAGTACTATGGGGAGACAGTACTGATTTATCATTAGTGGAGGACGACTTGGCAACGCCTAGGCATTCTCAAACCACTTCAGCAATGTATATGCCATAGAAATACCCTTCCTGTCAGTCCGTACAAATCCCCCACACAAACACTGGACAGCGCGACCATTAAGGAACTCGATATCTTTGGTCTGCTAAATATTCTGGACATAAGCAAATCCACGGGGCCCGACGACCTGCATCCCAGGTTACTAAAGAACTTAGCTAACTTCCTTGCGAACCCTTTAGGTATATACTTTAATCTATCCGTAACGCAGGGTCGTTCATCAAAAGACTGAAAGAACTCCATAGTAAATCCTGCTTTCAAAACAGGTACGAAACATAAACGTGAGAATTACCGACGCGTTAGCGTAACTAGTGTGGTTGTTAAAATCTTAGAAAAGATTATTCCGAAGGAGATGTTCAAGTATCTCGATGAAAACCGGATTCATTCGGAAAGGCAACATAGTTTTAGACTAAGTTATTTCTGATTCACTAACTTTTTAGTGGTTCGGGAAAACTGGTGCACACTTAAGGACCAAAAGTTACCTGTAGACGTAGACTACATTGACTTCAGCAAAGCTTTTAATAAAGTTCCGCACAACCGGCTGTTACATAAGTTAAGAAATGTCGGGATTGGAGGCAATCTATTAATGTGGATAAAAGACTTCCTTGTTGGATGTCAACATAGAGTATGGTTGAACTCCTAGTTGTTGAGCTGGGAAACTGTGCTTAGTGGAGTGCCCCAAGGTACAGTTTTGGGGCCAGTGTTGCTCCCCTTGCATGAAAACGGCCTTCCTCGTCTACCATTGAAGATGCCACAGGTATTTGGAGTTTCACAACGCTTTAACCAGTAACACCTAATATGGATCGCACCCACCAAGTGAAATCAAAAGACAGAAGCGAGGAGGTTCGAAAGTATATTTGAAAGGCTATCAATATATCGAGGATCGTTTGATCTAATCTGGCTAGCGATTGCAGGGGTTGTTGAGCACGGCGTTCCCACTCGTGATCTGGAGCGGATGCATGACCGAGTGCCTTCAACTAGGTGAGTCCACTCAAACTAATATGGTCAGCATCCAATGTCGAAAACTTACAGAGCCATTTATTTTGGGGATTTATTTACCGCTACACCCGTATGATGCTCGACTGACTGAGGTGAACCTATTCCAGTTGTCATAATGAAGAACTACAGGTGACTTGATAACAGTTCTCAAATTACTTAGTGATAAATTTGCACTCTATATGTACTCATTGTTTTGTCTTCCAAAACAGAGTATTTACGGGGACACTCCAAAAATGTTCACAAGCTCAGAACAAATTACTTATCAGCTGACTATCGACTTTCCCATCGAATCATCAACGAGTGGAATTGATTACATCAACACGTGACTGAAGCTTCATCTGTCAACTCATTCAGAAGAAAATTGTACCAAATGAGATACCATCATTGCCAGGACTAATGTAAGCCATCTAGCCTCCTATTCTTTTCAAAATGAAACATTAGATCTTTCAATGTAAAGAGCGATCATTGAAAGTCATGCGTTACTCTTAGGCATGTTTCTCAGTTACTCTAGATGTTTGATTATGGATACTTGCTTTATAGTTGCTAATATAGTGTCTAATCACCTAACTCTCTCTCGAACACAAAATATATATTAACGATTGGTGTAGTAAGAGAAGGTTTTTCCTAACTTGAATTTAAATTTCATGACAACTGTTGATCTAATTATTCCCTCGAAATTTTCTTGACAGATCATAATAAAGTAAATTTTGTGCGTTGAAAGCTATTGGAGATTTATGTTCTTCAATTTTCCCTGTAGGTTCAGCTCACTTACAAATCAGTTTGCTGGTATTTGATGACTCATCTTTAGGGGTATTTTAAGTGTCTTTTACTTTAGTCCTTATTTTTAACATACTTGGGGCATCTTAGAAACAGGTTAATCTAGCTAAGTGAGTCATCAGGTACTTTATTATGAGCCGTACTTTGAGTGTAAAGGCTAATGGTCTCGCCCGGTTACTCAAAACGGTGTGGAGAAAAATATATTTTTTTCTAGTTGGAATTGTTCTTTGGATTCGTGGATGTCCCCTTTTTTTCTTCCAGTGTACCTGGTTTCATTACGATCTTCACCTCTGAATAATTTCACTACAACTACTTGCTGGTTGCAACCCAATACCTAGGAAATCCCAAATATGTTATTGTTTCTTAAACTTACTAAACTTGTTGGCTCATATGTAAATAATGATAAAACGCTAAAATACAACAAATTCATCGCATCCTGATAATACTGTCTTTATCGCGTGGTTGAAATTTATTGGGAGTATTGATTGCTATAAACAGAATATCTCTGAACCTAACCTAGTTCTGTTTTCATTCAGACTAACAACCTTAATTTTAGCACATTCTGGTAATTTTGGAAATAGTATTATTTCCTTTCGATGCTTAGTGATTTTTAAACTGTTTTATTCATTGTCTTTTGCTTTGCTACTGGTACACTGTTCATTTTGCCATCATTAGACATTTGAGAGTTGGAGAAATTATTGTTACCCGTAGGTTTTGAACTCGCGTTACCCAAGTTCAGCCACTAAGCTTTTTCTGGTCGGCAGCTGACCTGTCGGACTGAGATATTAGCGTTATCTAATCCGGTAGTGGTCAAACGAGTTCTTTCATCAAAGTGCAATATTGCCACTTGTCTAACTGATTCGATAATTCGTGAACCAAGTTTTAATGATAGTGATAGTCAATCATATACGTATACATAATCAGTACCCGCTCTTATTCAAAACCGTTTAAAAGTGTTTTTAACACTTAATTTGCAATATTCATGTTTCTTCTGTAATCCCAGGTTTTGGTTTTCCTAAAGATTTGAAAACGTTCGCCATTTGCTATCTTAAGGATCTATATAACTGAAATGCACAACAACTTTCCTACTTTAAAAAATGATAACATTATAAGAGCTGCGAAAGGGGAGTCTGTTTCCCGCCTACCTGTATGGATAATGCGTCAAGCTGGTCGTTATTTACCTGAGTTCCGTGAGCTACGTGAAAAACACGATTTCTTTGAGATTTGTCGTACTCCAGAACTTGCCTGTGCCGTAACTCTCCAACCCATAAATCGTTTCGATCTTGATGCTGCGATTATATTTTCGGATATATTGGTTATACCTCAAGTGAGTTTAATTTTAATTTACAACTGTTATTGATTAGTCTCCTTCCCTTTAATATTATCATTGGATTTCTTTAAGCTAAACTAACTGAGGGAAATAAACAGTCACTCCATTTTTTCGTTATTTCTGTTCTCAACCACTGTTGCTTACATTGTTTAGAACACAAAAGATCAATCAGGTTGAAATTTAATCACAAGTTCTGTTTGTGATTAAGTTTTAGGTTTTCTTATTTATTTGAACACAAATATTGGTACAAAGAGGCACCGAATACAAGTCACTTGATTTGTGTGTGGGCTGTGATACTGCCCGGGTGCTCAGACCGAAGCAGGTGGTTTCCTTAAGAGTCTAATTTACAAGGTATTGGAGCAACGTCAGGAAATTCAGTCCCATGGTAGCCGGTGACCAACAATAGGTTCATAGGCCATTTGTTCCTCCAGGATCCTGGAACCCATGTGCACATTGGTTTGGAATCATGGTTTTTCCACTCCCCTAGGAGAATCCTCCGTGTCCACCAACCCGGTTAGATCGCTTGACATCCGCTTTTCGTCTTTTCAGTTTTATGAATAACAGTAATGCCGTGAGAAGGCAATGATGAGGACTTACCTTATTATTATTTATTTATTTGAAAACTTAAGTGTTGGTACAAGAGGGTACCAAATATACATGCGTCACACAAAACAATGAGAATTCGAAGAGAAGAAGAAGAAAAGTTAAGGAGCGTAAAAAAAGAACAATAACGAACAGATTAGTGTAAGGTAGTGTAATAATAATAATAATAATAGTAGGGGAAACAGAAACGTACAATCAGAAGAGATCTTTCAGCAAGATCGCCACTGGCTACTAACCTGAAGCATATCTGATAACGTCTCTAGCTACTGTGTCGCACTATCTCTAGGACCCCAGCCAGAGAGTCGAGAAGGACCAACAGAAGCCAGCTCTTTGCAGCTTTCTTTCATACCACGACACCATGTCATACACTGACCACCTCTCCGCTTTTTCTAACCAGTTCCAGAGTCGGCGAATAATACACGACGTGGAATTCTCTGGGAAGACATTCGTAGAACATGTCCAAGCCACCGAAGTCGATGTTTTTGGATGGTGACACCAATTACATTATCGTCTCTGCGCCCGAACACACGATCTCGATTCTCTGCATTACCAACATGGTGTTGCCACTGGATGTCAGCAATCCTTCGGAGGCAGCGATGATCAAACACAGAGAGTCATCTAACATCCTCGGAAAGGCCAGGACTCACAAGCATAGAGCAAAACTGCTGTTACTGACGCGTTGTAGATCCGACCTTTTACAGCCAGACTGACATCAGGATGGCGCCCAAAGATGGTCCAGATTGGCATAAGCCTCTCTGGCTTTCACTATACGTGCATTGATCTCATCACTCACGCCACCACCAGCACTTATGCAGCTACCTAGGTACACGAACTTCTCGACTATTTCTATCTGCTCATCATCCAGGGTGAGTACAGGATTAGGATCCTGCCAGTCTTGTAGAAGTACTTTGCATTTCGAAGGAGCAAAACACATACCGTACCTACGGACACTGATTGCCAACTGATTAGGTGCGGATTGCATGGTTTGGGCATTATCGCATAGTGAGACAATATCATCCGCATACTCAAGGTCGAAAAGTCTTTCTCCAGGCAACAGGTCCACACCGCCATTACTTACACCCATCAGAGCTGAATATATGACTTTCCAAAGACATAGCCAGCCCTATCTGTTGTCCGACCTGCATAAGTGTGTGAACGTTGAAGACAGCCAGTTTGAATGGTTCTCGTGATTTCAGAAAAACTGCTTCAGTATTCGTATTTGGTGGTAGCATACAATTTTCAACCAGGCAGTGACTTGAGAACGTTTAGATAGAACCGAGTTTCTACCATGAGCGAGCTGCTGTATAAGTCGAAAAATAAGGATACACAAAGTAGGAATAAAAGACAGTGAATAAGTGATGTGGTAAATAGTAACAATAATGTGAATTGCTTGACCGTTAATCGAAGCGTGAATAGAGTTTTCAGTAAATATCGTCATTTTAATTTTATTTGTGTGTGGGCTGTGATACTGCCCGGGTACCCAGACCGAAGCAGGTGGTTTTCTTATTAGGCGACAACCCGAGCCTTTGACCTAAAGGTCTGACCTGCAAGACAGTGGAGCATCGTTAGGAGATGCAGTCCCATGGTAGTCGGTGACCAACGATTGGTTCATACGCCATTTGTTCCCTCAGGATACTGGAGCCCATGTGCACCATTGGTTTGGGATCCGGTTTTAGCGCCGGATATTCGCTTTTCGTAAACAACAGTAACGCCGCGAGAAGGCAGTGAGTAGGACTTCTCTGGAAGAGGCTGTATACGCGTGGCCATGTGAGAGCATTTCTAGAGGGAGAGGGGACTCTTCCCACCCTCATATGTACCATTGATCAGAAATCAATGGTTTCTGAAAAGTTTGAATCAGAATGTCTGTTTCTTACAGATTTAGGGTTAAACAGTTAGTTGTAGATCTATTAAAATGCTTTATGACAACTGTATCTGAACAAATCTATATGTACTTGGAATATTAAGCGGATACCATATTCCATTTTTTAGCTTATCCACTCTTTACAGGAAGTCTATAACACAAACATCTAGTTCAGTTTGCATTATTTTTACAGTGATCTATTTTTGAAATCTAATCTCCAAATAAGTCTTACTAAGCTATCAGTTGTTTTTCGTGAAGAACTAGTTGCAGAAATTGAAACTTTTGCTCGACACATAGACTAATTCACTTGCAGTTTCGATGACCTCGAAGAATGTATCACATAAAATGTTCTCAGAGCTGTAACTCAGCTATGAGGCTTTTCGATTGTTGTCTACTACTTCACGATTTTGAATTTCGTCTATTTGTATTCCGAAACCCTTATGATTATGGCAACTATTTTACATGACTCAAAATCAGTTTCTGGTTCAACGAGTAAGTGGTGATGTAAATACATTCATTCTTTATCTTCTAGATTCATAGTTTCAACATTATTACACTTATCTCGAACTGTATTCTTTATATGTAGTACCACTTTCATTGAAACTACTACTATTTCTTGTTCTTTGCTATCTATCACTATGGTCCCGTCTCACTTTGATGTATTAATTGATAATGATTGCTGATATCACCAAGTCGACTTTTACTAAACATCGTATGACTTAGTTGGTCATCTTTACCTTTTCACATTTCGCATCCGACAACTATATACTAAATTTAAATAACTTTTGGACACAGTATGCTAATATCATAATATATATTTGTTGTCACACGATGAAAGTATTGTTGTAGTTTTTCTTTTCTGTAGGCTCTTGGTATGGAAGTGAAGATGCAACCTGGTGTCGGACCTAAATTTACTGAACCTTTAAATTCAGTAAACGACTTAGATCGGCTAAACGCTCAAGTTGATGTACGAAAAGAATTAGACTATGTTTATAAATCAATAACCCTGACACGCCATCGACTAGAAGGAAAGGTCCCTTTGATCGGTTTTGCTGGTGCTCCCTGGACTCTAATGTCTTATATGATTGAAGGTGGAAGTTCAAATACTTATTCCAAACCAAAAAAATGGTTATACACCGAACCTCGATCAAGTCAGAGATTGCTTAGTCTACTTACTCAGATAATTGTAGAGCATTTGATTCAACAATTTCTTTCCGGTGCACAGTTACTTCAAGTAATTGCCTTTTTTCTCATTTTAGTTTTTTATTGGTAGTGTGCTAATTATATACATTCGATAAAATCCACACATAATATAGTAAAACCTCCCGATTATTTGTGTTGTGATATTGTTTTAACTTCCCCTAATATAGTACTGTTTTCTTGATCTATGGGATCACAGGTTTAAACAGTACTACACTTATGACTCCTGAATAACGGGTTACGGGTCGAAATCTATCATGAGAACTAACACTTAGTTACTCAGTTACAGTCTACTTGGGAATACCAATTTTTTTAGTGAGAACCATATACCTTGAAGAGCAATTACTAAATAACGGACAATCTACTGCTATGGTCATAGGATAATTCGCTTTAACCGGGTTGGTAGATATGGAGGATCCACTTAGGGGAGTTGGGAAACCCTGATTCCAAACCAGTGTGCACATGGGTTCCAGGATCCTGAAGGAACAAAAGGCGTATGAACCTGTTGTTGGTCACCGGCTATCATGGGACTGTATCTCTTAACGTTGCTTCACTACCTTGTGTATTAGAACTTCAGGTCTAAAGCTCGGGATGTTTCCGCATAGAAAATCACTTGCTTCGGTTTGAGTGTCCCCTAGGTGTTCCAGCCCTCACACAAATCAATAGTAACTGCTACTGGCCTTATTGTTGTTGTGTGGCACATATATATTTGGTACCCCCTTGTACCAATGTTTATATGTTCAAATAAGTAAATTAAATTTGTGGAACGTATCAAACAGATCTGCTTTGCGAATGTATTTTAATCCTGGATTTGATTGATTAATTAATGAAAGCTGACTCAGTGATCGAAATACACATCCCAATTTTAGTTAATCTTCGGATGGTAGGTACAATCCCTAAACGACACCACTCGTCAATGATAGTTATCATAATTGTCAGGTGGTATGTTTAAGGTTTCGCCAGCGCAGAATAGAATTTCGTGCACTGTTTTATTTATTTATTCATGTAAATTCGAAATGGCAACTAATTTATTCTGGTGTATCTCGACTATTTCTAATCACTCACTACTCGGTAAATACCGATACAAAAATGATTCAGTAACCAAGTACATGTTCCTCGTTTTAGTTTAGCACCATATTTTTTGTACTTAAGTGATAGATACACTTCACATATTTTTCTACGGTTTCTAGTAACCTGTTATTGTAAATAGTTACTCATATTTTCTATTCTCGTAGGTTTTCGAATCTCATGCTGGCTTTCTTAGCCCACACTTGTTTAATACATTTTGTTTACCGTATTTGAAACAAATTGCAAATGAAGTACGAAGCCGTTTGTTGAATGAATACAAAATTCCTAACGATTCTATTCCACCACTCATCGTATTTGCTAAAGATGGCCATTATGCTCTTACTGAATTATCTAAATCTGGTTATGATGTTATTAGCCTAGACTGGACCATATCTCCTAGATTAGCTCGAAATACTGTAGGTTATAATATCACATTACAAGTAAGTTAAGTTTGCTTGCCACTAAGATCGTCGGTTTTATATTTATTTATATCCAACCCTGCAGTTTTTAACATTTCTATTGAAGACACATATTCAATGAGTAATAATAATTCTTATACGAATAAAGTATAATCAATTTCAAACACTTGCTTGTAATTCATGAAAAGTCATAAGAACTAGTTCCTTATTGCATAAGGCTAGTTATATGTATTTTGCTGACTCAGTGTATTCATAAGGAAAGCATACACAAATCTGGCATAAACGAAACCTACTAGTTGTCCGTTTCAAAATGGATTCCCAGTTGATAGCGGTAACCTGTTAGGTCTAAAACTAGGACAAAATAGGTACCTAGTTAGTTTTCAGTAGTTCTCCAGTCGATACTAATATGTAACAATTGTTTTCAAATTTTATCAATGCCTAACAAAACTAAATAAAAAACCCTTCTGAAAGTAATCAGCATACGTTCACTAGTGACTGGCTTCAAGAGTTATTTCCTGGAGTTCTAGTGAGAAGCAGTGACCAGTGAAGTTCAACCGGGTCTGTTGTGAGACAGTAACTCACTGAAGACAACAGTGTATGTGTCACCCAATTCCGTGGATCAGTTGAAGTTAGACACTAACACCATTGGATACCACCGGCTCAGTGGTTTAAAGGCTAAGCGTTCGCGCACGAGACCATTAGGTCCTGGGTTCAGATCTCACGAGGTGGGATCGTGGATGCACACTGCTGAAGAGTCCCACAATATGACGAAATGGCCGTCCAGTGCTTCCAGGTTTTCCATGGTGGTCTAGCTTCAGTTAATTCATGATCTCAACTATTGAAAACTAAATAAGTAATAAATAAAATCAGTTTTAGCTAGCTCTATATTCTTCGTTTATTTAGCTAACTAATTTAATCAAGCAATTGATGGGACTATCATTTTATTCTAAAGTGAATTCCTAACTCTCCAGTTGAACAAGATAGTATCATGTTTATAAATAACAATGGTGCCCATCACTGTTTTGGAGGTATTATAATTTTATGAAAAGATTTGATTTGATAGCTCTATTTAGCTCACCATTTCAAGTTAACGTTGTCCCATTTCCTGTAAGCAAATATGTAGTATTGTTTCTTGGTCCTACAACAACTTTGAACTAAATCACTAATTTACATTTATGTACTCATTATTGTATAATTTCCTTCCATATTTATAATTTAAATTACGTTTAACATTTATTTTTCTTGTTATAATTATTTAAAGGGTAATTTAGATCCTTGTGCATTATATTCTAATGAGAATGAAATTTCAAGTTTAGTAAAAGAAATGATTAATAATTTCGGTGTACATCGTTATATTGTCAATTTGGGTCATGGCATTTATCCTGATGTTGATCCAGATAAAGTGAATAAATTTGTTGATTTAGTACATCAATTATCAAATACAATGTTGAACTATTAAATATCTTTTGGTATTTTTATTCCCTTTTTATTCGTAGTTTATTTTTCTGTATTTGTTCTACCTCTATTTCAATGAGTTTGCTGTTATTTTTTATAGGGCTGTATAAATAAGTTATTTTGTACTTTTAGTTAGTTGTTAATTTATTAATAAAAATAAATTATACTTTCTGGGGCAAGTTATTGGTAAAGTTTATAATTTATTTATTTATCGATAATATATAGATGGAGGATAAGTCATTTGCACAATCTTCTAGAATCTGATCCAATGAGATGAGTGTTTATAACTGGTTTGGTTTTCATTTATTATGTTATATACGTTGTATTACATAAATGTATGGTAAAAATTATCCTCTTTTGAATGATTCTGTGTGGTAAACTTTGAGATTTCATTGAAAGTTCCACTGACAACGATGGTAAACGTTATATATAGACTAACAGACAATTTATAATGTGAAATTTTTTTTACCTTGTCGAATCATCATTGTGGTGCGTGCTACTTATATTGATATAAGTAGTATATGACGCGAGTCAGGAATGTAATGTCTGGTAGCAGAAGATGGGGGAACATCAAGAAAGCAAGAGTGGGAATAGAATGCAATTTGTATGGAAATGCAAGGACAATGAAGTCTGAGGCATTTTGAGACAATTGATGGACATTTTGCAAATTAACGATTTAATATATGGTTCTCAGATTTTATTGAGATGCTCTGTAAATTCGTGTCAAATAAATTTAATTTTCCCCACCCGTGTTCTTTTTCACTACATCATGACAGTCTATTAAATCGTCGTGAACCGATTTATGTGATTTATTCACTTAAATTACTATCTGGCATTACAAATATATGATACAGAATAGAATATCCTAACTTCAGTTTTATTTTGTAATCTAACTGCTTTCGACTTGTTATTCATTCAACCGAATAGTAATCCTGTGACTCGTAATACAAACATATTTCAGAACTTGTGAATTCCAACCTTCATATATTTAATGAATCGTTTTGTCACAAAGTTAAAGTAATTTCCTTATGATCAGACACCATTGTTAGGTTTTTCCTTAGTGAACTTACCTCTTTAAGGATTTGTATTATCTGCATTCAATTAGGCTCTTATATAAGTAGATGCCTCAATAATAATTACAAATACAAGTGTATTCCCTCGGTTTTGATATTCATATCGAGACTCAAACTCACTACGTGTCTTGGAAATCAATACAGACGCGTTATTAGGACCAACTAAAACGAAACAGTCATCCCAAAATATACTGCCATTGTATGTATAGGCGATATCGAGGCACACATACCAACAACGACTGATAAAATTTAGTTCTGAATATCAACAGTAGGGAAATATCTTCATACCTATTGAATGTTTTGTTGGTTATATGTAATCACTGAGTTGGGCGTTGGCGTACAGAGCGGTAACTAATAAGTTTGAGTCTTATTGTAAACATTTACACCTGGATAAAGGTACACGAAACTGATGGGATGCTCCTTCTGAACTCCTGTACTTACGATAATTAAAAAAAAATATAAATTGATTTCCGTTGAAATATTCGTACAAACAAAACGGTGTAACAATGTGATGATTAGGAGTATTTGAATTATAGTACGAACTAAGAATCCCAGAAAGAACGCAGTTGAATCAAGAAGTAATAGACAATCACGAACGAATGTACTGTATTTAGAATTTGCAATCAAGCATTTAACAAATACAAAGGGATCATTAGTTCATTCAAACACCACAAACAGTTCTGTAGTTGATCTACTTGATTAACCACTAGAATGCTGGTCAAACAAACATTTAATATATCAGAATATCAAGCTACGTAGTTACTGACAAAGTACCCTTTCTGAAAAACCCAAATTAAGATAATTGACAATTATTTGAATTTTTTATTAACAGCTATATCAGAAATGGTGGAAGAACATTGATGCAACACCACTGATAGTGCATGGTACTATTTTTATCCGATCGTTCAACAAATGACGACAAACGAATGAAATTTAGTTTAATCCATTTTCAGCATTTTTAATTTTCATTTGATCTTAACTGTCAATTCTCCATAGTTCATGTAACTGTACACTCCTGAAAACTTACTAAACATTGGTAGCGGTCGGCCCCTTTTTTCAATCCACAAAACATTGAAAAATTGTTATTATTACCGTTAAATTTGTGTTCTCCCATATTTTGTATGACAGTTTACTATTTACTAAAACTAAGTAGTTTACATTACACTCAACCACTTCTATCATTTGTTTGCTTTGACGATACAATACAATATGTTAAATCTGGATAATCATTTTTACCTCTTTTCTAAGTATTTTTGTGTATAATTTCATACCACGTATTGAAATAATGAGTGGTTAAAAGTATATCTAATCGCTTCATTGTATGATAATGCAAGGACTTGTAGAATTATGGTCTACTTCGCTATTAGTACTGCTCTAATAACAGAACTAGTCCTAAAATTGTAGATTTGTCATGATGTAACTGCCTAATCTATAAGATCATACGTGGAAGCCACATTATTGTCTACACTGACTCATCGCATCATAACAATAACCAATATATGATGAACACATTTAGGACAAGAATGACCACGTCTGCAAGGCCATGCCATTCGAAGAATTTGAATTGATTGGATCCATTCTTCCCCCCTTCTCTATCATTGGGTTTTTCTACGTGTTAAATGTTCAATATCTATTTTCCCAGTTGTCTCGTGTTCAGCTTTGAGGATTGCGTGGTTAGGGCCCAATGTCACTACACACGCGTTCTTTCGTCACAATGAGCCATATCCCATCCATTTATACTCTTATCGACATGCTTTGGTTCATCACGGTGCATTTGAATGGATTTCATCCGGCCTCATTTGCTTGCACCCCTTTCTCTTCTAACCTCGTTAGTCTCTAACAATTCCCAGTTTTCAAAATAACTCACCTTGCTTCTTTCGGTTAGTTCTTGACACTTGAAACAGTCATATGTTGGCTACTGGATGATTGAACATGCTTCAATTTTGTTTTTAACAACTTATTTAAATGAATAACTCTTCTCTTAATTGTGCTTTAATTACGTGACTAATGTTTGGACATCATATGATTTACGGTTTAAACATTTTTCGAGTTTAATTTATTTTACGTACCAGTGCTATACTTTATAAATTTCGTCTGTTGATGCCAGTATTCGAATCTAGGTTGGAAACCTTGAACGAACTCTACGTCAAGTTTAGCTTTGAATCAATTGTTTCGTGTCGTTTCTTTCTCATGTGTTAGTTCTGATTATAATTACGTTTATATTTTTAGTGATATATGTTTCTTGACCATAATTCGTTAGTTTTGACGTTGTTGGATTATGATCACAAAAAACCAGTTGTCATCTTTATAGCCTTCCTATCATTTAAACTATAGCTATTTGAGAATAATTATTATACTGAACGTAAGCAAAAAAACATGTATTGATGAAATGTTTGAAGTCAGAAACAACTAACATTGAGAACCACTAAGTTTCCAACGGCTTACGAAATAATTTAATTTTTTAGTGTAAAATAATCGCACTTCATCTGATTTTCGTTTTACCGAATGTAATTTTTAAAAAAACACTGATATTATAGACCATGCAATAGAAAGAGTTTATTAAAAAGACATTTTATATTCGTGCAGTTAATAGTTCTTATAAGCTTTGCGTTCTCATCAGATTATCTGAAATTATCAAAACAACTACCTGTTTTAAACTAAAATCATATTTCCGCAATCCTTTAAAATAGATTAATTAAATAATCAGGTCTCGGATATTTAATCTTCTCTAATGTTTATTGAATTCAAAACAGATGCCAGTTGACGAGTTTCGTTAAGATTACAAATGAACATGTCAGTCTCATTAGATTTTGATTTACCTGAATAGCTGTCTTAGAAATTTTTTAAGCTGTAAAACACACGAAAAAAATTTCTAAGCACATGAATATCACTTTTAATCTGATTTTTCTGAATGATTCACAAGAATTTATATACACTGTTAACTGGTAATCTATTGTTTCCAATGCTCTAATAAAAATACTAATATCCGAAATTCTCAACTTTCTGTGTGAATGCCTTGAAATCTCTACAAATTTCTGTTTAATGTTGATTGTTTACCATCTCTTTATAAGTTTACACTGATATAAGGGGATAAAAAAATGAGATTGTTTGGGTTAAAAATTTTTTATCCGTTCATCATGAACTTCGACCACGGTGATAAGTTTGAACTTCGCTCAGCAACAACTCGTGTATCAATCCAGTATAAACGTCGTTCTGTTAAACAATTGTAAGCAATCGTTGAATGTGCTATGTTCCCTGTATCCATCCCGGTGAACTATATTCAGTGTCTTTTCATCACAACTCTATATAGGTATCAATGTCAAAGTCGGATTCGATAGTTTCAAATAAATTGAGCATTGAGTAGAAAGTTATACAGAGTAAATAAATAACAGAAATAAAACCAACACAAGGTTACATAGTACAAAGGAAACAATAAAGAATATTTTTAGTACAATCAAAATCATAATAAGTTTGAATATGTCAATGTCAAGTTATTCTTGATCAAGTTGAATTTGTATGATTTATCAGCACTAATTTGTGCGTCAAATGGTGTTTATGAAATATTCCACACAGTCTACATACAATCAATCTCAACTCCACTGCTTCATATTACAAATGTATACATTTTTCATACAAATTAATGGTAACATGCCATACAAATTCACCTTGACCAAGAATAACTTGACATTGACATATTCAAACTTATTATGATTTTGATTGTACTAAAAATACTCTGCTTTTTTTCCTTTGAACTATTTAAACTTGTGTCACTTTAATCCGGTTATTTATTCACTCTGAAGAAGTGGACAACATCCAGCCACGAAACGTCAGGAATACAATATTCTATTTATTGGGATATAATAAAAGTATGTTTATTAATAATTTGATGTATTTTCCCTATATGCGGTAATATTAGGTGTATAAAAACGTGTATATGAATGGTTATATTTTTGTCTAACAATTTTTTGGATTTCGGGACTTCCTTAGGGTCGTGCTTTGGGGAAGTCAACAGATCCTCATTGCACTAGTATTCCATGTTCTCACTTTGAGTTTTGGAAGTCTGGTGACCCCCGTTTCTGAGTGTAAGCGGTAGGACTGAAGCGTTGCAGTGGTTTCCGGTTGTCAAGTGTTAGTAGTAAGACTGCGGACCCAACAGAGTCGATACGTGCATAACAGAAGGCTGTCCCAGATCTAACCTATGCTAATTGCAGTTATGAACTGACTGCCATTAGCTGAACAATGTCTTTTAAATTCCGCTAAATTCATATTCGTTGAATTGGATTTGTAGAAGTTATAAGAATTTGTCTTATGGTGTGTAGTTAATCACGTTAAGATGTGCATATCTCAAAAGAGACTAATTAGATCTAAACCTCAAGGAAAGCTTTTATTCTCATTGAATAACTTAGTGGCAATCAGAACTCAGTATCTTATCGGCTAATACATTAGGTTTTGAAGAGATGAGTATTGAGTTTGTATGACAGTATAAATATCAATACTATGATGGAGTAAATTCAGCTGAATAGTACTAAACAGCACAAAATAAACATTCCAGATTCAACTGCTAGCCACATATCCAAACTTCGGGCTGAACAGTTTCTGTAATCCCTCAATCTAATATTTTTAAAATAGAGATTTGATTGGACGAGCTATTGTATTTAGAAAAACATTCTTCT